TAATATTCAATTACTTATTTTATTTATTTATTTATATTTAGAAAATTTATAAATGCAACAATTTACTGACAAATTATACAAGCGGAGCAGCACTATTTATGATTTTTGACAGCTCTTTTTCGAAAATTCTGAATGACAGATTGATCATAAATTTAGGTATTGGAGGTAGAGTTTTCGAAAAATTAGTACATGTGAACCAGACTACCAACCAATTCTATTGACAAACATTATTCAAGAATATATGCTTTTACATCAGACGAAACTTGTTAAAAATACTCACCTGAGTAGTGATTTGTCTTGGCGCAGGTGCTCGAACCCTCTTGTCCAACAACAAATCGCTGGGGCATCGCTCGAAAATTAACACCCTCTCCGCTACCGAACCTCGAGTCAGAAATGGTCGAATGGGATTCGATGCTGATTGTCTGAGGTGCTGTTTTTGACTCATTGTTAGTTCTGGGTGAGGTACCTGTTGCTCAGAACGGCGAGGATTGCTCCTCAGGCATTTGGTGGAAGCTGTGGGGGTGGAAGTAGGCTGTTCTGGTTTCTCCAGCGAGGAATCTTTCAGTGATTGTTTGGATGGAAGGTGCTGAAAAGAATTTTCTATGGGGAAATTCTGTTTCAAAACGAATTAAAAGTTGTTTGGAAACTGTTTTCGGGAGCATCTTCTCCACGATATTTGAACATTCTAATATGGTTTAACATGAATCTTGTTTGAATGGGAAATACGCCAAGGCGGTCAAAAGTTGCAAATAACGTTTCTTGTCGGCGGTCGATGTCGATACTTTGCAACAGATCACCTTGGGGAGCCTCGTTAATCTTTGACATTCGAGGACTGAGTTCTCTCTCCCATAGACGACGTCTTCGAGAAGAAAGATGGACTCATAAGGGCCCCCAAACCTCCAATAGCTTTTTTGGACATTTGAGGAGAGGTCTTTAACTCTATTACTATTGAGACTATTCTTTCTATTGATGAGTTGAATAATATTTGTATTGAGATATGAAATTTGAAAAGTTTTTATGTGTTGGTTTGACGAAGTGATATTTCCTGACCGATATAATTTTTTATTGATGGTGCCCCCCGGAATGAAGAAACCACCCTTTGATTTTATACCGAATATGATGCTTTTGCTATCCAGATTATTGTTTTTACTGTGACTAATAGTGAAATATAGATGTTTTCAACCAATAGAGGAAAGGAGAAATTAACATTGTTATTGTTAAGAATATTCGTACTAAGACATGAAATAACAAACTGAAAAGTTTTTATATGCCGGGTTTGACACAGTGACGTTTCCTTACCTTCATAGGGTAAAATGAAGACAGATTTCCACCAAACGTACCCGCTTGCGGCTGCGGCTAGTTTGGTTTTCAAAAACAGAAAAAATAACTTGTTTTAGTTTCGAAAACAAACTTGAGTTCCACCAAACTGACAAAAAGAAGTCTGAGTCGCCTGTTTTGTAGTGAACTACTTTTTGTAGTTTCGTAGTTTCCACTACATGAACAGCAATGAAATTGCTGCATTCTTTAACTGACAATTGCTTTTTTTCGCTCAGATTCTACAAAAGAAAATTAATTCTCATTTTTTGAAATTAGCAACAATACAACAAATCAATAAAAATAGCCTGCCTAGTGCCGATAATCGAAATTAACACCCACCACAGAGGAATACTTTAAATAAAGTAGCGAAATTAGTTTACAAAAACACAGAAAATATTCCGAAACCTTTTGATCTCTCCACCTGCCGACGGGCATTTCATTGTTGACAAAAACAGTCTTCCGCGAGTTACGTGGAAACAGATATCAAGAAGCGTGCCTTATCTACAGGAGCCCGAGACTTTGCAAATCTTGTAATCTTTTCAAATCTTGTAATAATTGTCTTGATAAAGATTCATTCTTTGTACTGCTCTCGAAGAGAATAAACTCTTTTTGAGTCTTAGGTGAAATCGATTTTCTTTTTTAAAAACTAAGTTCTCGATTTCCAATACATAATTCACGCCACACAGTCTTCAAAATGTTTCTTATTTTTTGTGCCCGGGTTTTTGTTTCGTCGAAATCAACACGGTTGCTGTTTTGTTGTGGTTTTGTCCGTTTGGTGGAAATACGTCATAAGGTATCAAGTCAATGTTTGTAGCAGAAAAATATAGTTATTTACAAAAGTAACTTGAATTGAAAGGGTTATATTTTTAGGAGTGATCAATTTTTGGGAAAGAAAGTTTTTGGCTTTCTACTACTCCATGTAATTCAATGTTTATATGAAAGTAACTGTTTCAGGAGGACTTTCTTTCAGTTTGTGTCTGAAAGTTACTTCTTTGCATGATCTACATCCATGTATAGAGTTACTTATTTTCAAATTGGTTACTTCCTTTCTTTGGAAGATTCCCTCATCCTTTTTTTGTATCAAGATGGAGTAGTAGAAAGCCAAAAACTTTCTTTTCCAAAAAAATTACTGTTTATACAAAATATGGCCAAGTCCTCCTACCGTAACTTCTCGAGTGTTTTCCTTCAGTCCTGTTCCCATTGGCGGGGGGACCATTTCCTCATGTACAATGTCTCCGTTTTTAAGTGCATTCATCAGTCGTTTCTCTTCCACGGCTACCTGATCGATGGTTACGATTGAGGATTGCTGTTTCTGATTGTATTGGGGGTTATGGTTCTCACTGAATCCACTGCCAGCTGATTTTTTCACGGCGTCCGTGGATATTACACGGTTTTTCAAAGGCCACGTTTGCAATCCGTTTGTCGGTAGATCGGGAGGCAAGGTCATCTCAATGGTATCGCTAAGTCTAGGTTTCGGCAGTATTCGAGGTTTCTGACCGATGACAGGTTTGATTGTTTGTGGCTGAAAAAAAAATTAATTAACTAGGTAGATCAGTAGTTTGTTTGTTTTCCTTGATAAATAGATTATTGTGTATATTCATATTTTTCCCAATACGAAAATTCCCTTCTTTCATGACTTTCAAGTGAACTCGATAACGAACTGTTTCTTTCCAACGTTTAAACGACGCGGGTGGCTGACATAACGCTCCAACTGGAATAACATTGAACATGGATTTTCATGTTTTGGCTTTTAATTTGTGGAAACTGTTTCAGAACTGTTATATAACTGTAGTGTTTGTTCTGTGCATTCATTCGAAGTCGATTTGTAATGTTTCTCTAAGTTTGAAATCCAGAATTAAAACTGACGATAATACAAAGCTCTGAATATGCAAGTCAATCGTGATGCGAAACGTAAAGTAGGAATAATTTTAAAAGATGACCGCGTAAGTCCATATTCCGAACTTGACAACGTATGTTAATTGATAATTACAAAGTAGTATCCATGAGGTATAGTGTACAAACATGTAAACAATAGTGATATTAGAATTTCTTAGACCATTTCTACCGAGATTANCCTACATCCGTTTATTTCCACCCTCCAAATTTCATTATTAGAAGTATACCCGTTCAAAAGATACGAGGGGGGGAGGGGACTTTTGACTAGCACTGTATAATCATTGAAATGAAATTTTTAACTGAATAACAATATGAGTAAGATATAAAAATCAATCCATGATATTGAATATTGCATAATACAAAATTTAGTAGAAAAAAACTTGAAATTACCCAACAAAATCCTAATACTGTTCTATTAACATATTATCAATAATAACAAAATCATTTCTATATTATATCAGAGAAATCTGCTGATAAATACTCGTCAAGAGTGAAGAAACTAAATTTCAGTAAAATAATTTCGAATTTCGCAAGTTACACCCATTCAGATGTAAAAATAACTCTGATTGTTTTTTCTGCATGAACATAAATGTATTATTTCACGTAAATTCACTTATAAACTGTTCAATAGTATCCTGGGGTAATTTCTTTTCACTAAACTATATATACTTGTAATGCACTGTTTGGAACCTTTGGTCTAGTAATGAATATTACTGGATTTTTTTCCTAGCACCAAACCATTATTTCAACACCTCGACACGTGTTTAGATCACCAAGTGATCATCTTCAAGAGGAAGATCAGTCTGATCTTCTTCTTGAAGATGCTCACTTGGTGATCGAAACACGTGTCCAAGTATTAAAATAATGGTTTGGTGTTGGGAAAAATCCAGTAATATTCATTACTAGACCAAAGGTTCCAAACAGTGCATCACAAGTATATATAGTTTAGTGAAAAGAAATTACCCCAGGATACTATTGAACAGTTTATAAGTGAATTTACGTGAAATAATACATTTTCAGAACATCGATTATAGTTTTCACAGGACAAAATAGTGTTTGGCGATTATTTCACAAATAGAGTTAATTTGTGGGTTCCAAGTTATTTGTTGGTTCAAATGTATTCCCAAGAATGTTACCCCATTGTTTTGAATAAAGTAATGAACACCTCGCTTGACTGAAATCCTGGTTTGATATTGGGATTATACCAAATAAGCCAATTTTTTCAAAAATCATTCATATCATCTGCTTCAGTTGCACGTATTGAGGGGATACATGAGAAAGTACTTGAGATAACGGGAGTGATTTGAAGAAAATGGGTTTAAATTACGAAATGTTTCTATGAATGAAAAATAGCGTTGGGGTAAAATAATACAAGTGAGAGGCCTGCGGAGACATCTCCAGAAGAAGAGAAGTATGTTTTGCTATTCTCCTTACAGGCAGTTTATGTGATATGAGTTTATAGCAGGTGCAGTAAGTACAGTGGTCCACTTTACAGCACAACACTCGTTAATCTTGTTAATCTGCATGTGGTCTACGGTGCAAAAACATCTTGAAACTCAGTCTTTCGAACTTGAATGAAATATTTTTTATCGACCTTTACATGATTGGGTGCGACTTTTATTAGTTCAAAAATATTCGAGAATAGGAACAGAAGAAGTTCCCGAAACCAAACATTTTCATTCATATATGAATTTTCTTAGTATATCCTAGGAGAAGAAGAGAGACACCTTGGAAATCATAAAGGATAATTGAGAACATATTAAATTACGTGAAAACATTGTTAACGGGATGATAAATGCTCTAGAAGAGAAATCAAATGAATTTGATAAATGTGTCGAGAAAAGACTAAGTATGAAAATGAATATTTCGAATTGAAATTCGTTACAATCACTTCTCTCAATGTTTCAACATAGTAAGTATAGGAAGTGGCAAATGCCTGCCAAAAATGACTACTTTTCATTTGATTTATATCCAATTATTCAGCGAGGAACAAATGATGGACGAACGAGAAGTGCTACAAGAATTCTTCTACTAGGAAACTAAATGTTTACCGGATCATAATGTGTAGTAACATTGGAAAAGGTGAACGTTTTGAATTACAATTCTGAATGATATTTTTTTAGTGCTGTGTAATCAATAAGGAGCTTCAATATTGGCTGCGCAATAACCTCATTTGAGAGCGTCAATCTGATATTACCGATTATCTCTGTTCCAACAATAAACACAGGTAATAAACATAAAGTTTTCGCATCACCGGAATTACGTATAAACACGAAAATCGTGTATTTTCTTGTCGAACAAAATCAATTTTTGCAACAAAAGCTTCGTCCTTCAACGTCCGCTAACGAAGATGAATAGCCATATTGTGGTTTTTGTGAGAATTGCGGTGATTGTCTAATTAAAAAAGGCTCAAAATAGTACACTAAATAACTCGATGATGGACTATGGGCAGCTATTGCAATATTTTTGATTACATCAAAAAAGATCATTAATCTCTAGTAGGTCGCTTATAAAGCACATTTCGCAAGATTATAGTGCAGGTATAGGTATAGGTATTTATATACGATGTTCGAAAATTAGGTTAATGGAATGTTTATAACGATAAGAGTACCCAATATTATCGAAGCACTGTTTGCAGACTGACTATGATTAAACATGCTGCGAATATACGCCATATAATTAGTTTAGTCAACCAGCTAACCCATAACTGATCTAACTTCAGAAGTGTAAAATTGTCTATAGGTCGTGTGAAAATTAAAGAATGAATTATATTTTATAAACGGGTAATTTAGTAAAAATATTATCTCCATCTCCTGATAATTTGGTTTGCGAAACGTGCACCGAAAATAATGGTTTAATAAATTGATCGATGTTACTACGTGGTACGAAATTATAATGAAACTTTATTGTATGAAAATGTCCTTATAGGACAAAATTGCAATAACATTAGTTACAAATAAAAGTGGTAAAAAACATAGAAAGTTTTCAATTCTCTTTTCTCCATAATGATGGTTTACTTTCATAGTGATTGGAAGAATTACTTTCATTAGATTTATTTCATGTCGTTTATTCCAGGGGAGTTCCACATATTGATCTGACAGTTAAACTCTGTTTTCCGTTAAGCAGTTGATATTGTCAGTAACTGCGAAATAACCCCCCGAGTTCAAGACCCTCTCCGTGACTTTCACGGGTAGAAGTTGTCTGAAAGGGAAATAATTATTAGTTTCTAGTTCAGAAGTTCGGCAGGACTTTTCATAATATGAATGGATAGAGTAACGGCGGATAAAAGATTTGGCTCTGGGAGGGAGAATACAGATTATATTAAAAAGCTTTTTTCCAAAATATGCATATATAGTGTACTTATATCTATGATTTAAAAAAAATCATTTCCAATCTATCATTCATCATACTTTCTTTTAAATACGGAAATTAATTATGTGTGACGACGTTGATACAATGAAAATAAAAATCATTAGACCATTTATTTGCAATGCTGTGAAACTTTTCAAAAAATCTTGGTTTGAACTTCGAAATGTGCATTCAAAGAGGTTCGACATAATCAAGAAAATTCAAATATCATATTTATGATAGACAACTCTCGTTCATTGGATGAAGATAAATTTGATTTATTGAATTTTGAAGATATAATCAATAATCAATATTTATTTTTCTCTTTTCAAGGTACCATGATTTCTTTTTTCTCCTCTTTACATAAACGTTTGAATATGAAGTGATGCTTCTTGGTTGAATTGGAGTTGTTTTGAGCAAATGAGTGTCAGAAACTCATGTACCTTTGTTCCCTAATTTTTTGTACTATTTTGAATTTTTTCAATTACATCGGACTTATTATCATGATTATTGACAAAATTATTTGCATTATATTGACTAGTAGACTTAGGAAACAAATAACATTTGAATATACATTGCCCAGAAAATATTTTAATTTTTTCCCAGATAGTGATATACATTATTACTTTTACAATAATGTAGACAGTATTTGTGATGCACTGTTTGGAACCTTTGGTGAAGTAATGTATATTACTGAAGTGTTTTCCCAACACCAAACCGTTATTTTAACACCTCGACACGTGTTTCGATCACCAAGTGATCATCTTCAAGAAGAAAATTTAACTAAATATACTAACAATTTTATCCTTATTCACAGTAGAGGTATACAGCCGGTTCTGGGCCTCCCCCCACCACTTGATGTATTGATTGCTTTTTTTATTGTTTGGTAACATCAAGGCGATGTGACCTTGAAGTGTCTGGTGCATGGATCGTTCAGAATTTTTTTTTCATATGAGATTTTGTGTGTGTGTGTGTGTGTGTGTGTGTGTGAGTGTGTGACATAGTGACGTAATTACATTTGGTTGGTGTGTGGGAATGCACGGTACAGGGTTTACATCCTTCATTTATGTTCATGACCTTGAACATGGAATTCAACTTTGAGATTAGGGACCAAGATTGCATACATTGTAAAGTCGTGGTTTGATATTGTCCTTCATGTGTACTCTGTACCTGTTTGTACCGAATAAACACACGTCTGAATACCACGAATATTCATCGACTGATGAGCGGTCCTTCTTCACCAGTTTGGACGGTATCCCTCGTGACAGAGAGTGTACA